GAAGCAGGACTCCTCTTAGGAACCCGCTTCTGTGTCCAGGACACTCCAGTTTTGTGGATTGTGCCAGTCAGAGAAGGGGACTAAGTCACACTCCAACATGAAGGACACTTGGACACCTGGGCACCCTCCGTCTGAGTCTGTAAAGTGACTTGGAGCCCTTGGAGCTCACGGAGGATGGGAGGCTGAGATGAAGGGCCGAGGAGGCAGCTGCCCTTGGTGGAGGCCTGCTGGGGCCACCAGGCTGAGGCCACCAGGCTGAGGCCACCAGGCTGGGGCCACCAGGCTGAGGCCACTGTGGGCTCCAAGACAAGCTCCTGGTGCTGGCGTCCCCTGAGAGTCATCAGCCCGGTCACCTCAACAGCTCGAGTCACCCAGTGCCCACGACTGCAGGTCCCCGTCTCACCGTGGGTTCCCAGCTTGGGCATCCATGACTGGCTGGTCGCTTTAAACCTGAGGTGGACAGGAGTGCGTCCCAGTTTCCCAGAGGACGTAGGACACACAGGACAAGCCTGGGCCAGGYGTGCTGGCCGGCCTGGCCACCACCCTGAAGAGAAGTGTGTCCTGGGCAGGTGCTGGTGGGTGCTGGGCAGGAAGAGCCCAGGCCAGGGGGCCTCAGTGAGCCAGGGCCTGGGAGGCCCCAGGTCAGGCCCACTGGCCRCCCGTGTCCCCGGGCAGTGACAGGTGGTCTGGTCTCTGTTTTGGGTGCAGTTCCTGATCCGCCTCATACACAAGGAGCTGAGCTGCCCGGGGCCCACAGCAGGGGGCCAAGCTCCGTAAGTCCATCACCCCCCCCCCGCCATGAAGGTAGCCGGTGTCCTGTCCATCTGCTCCCGGACCAGACAGGAAAGGGCTTGCCACTGTCCCTGCGAGGCACATGGCTTTGCTCACGTTCTCTTCTGTGAGGAGTGTGGCTGTGCCATGTGACAGTGGCTCTCCTGCATGTCGGGGAGACGGTGGGGAGCTTCCTCCTTAGTCACCCCAATGTTTTCTACTGCTGTCCCCAGCCTCAGGCTGGCCCCRCCCTGGCCCCACCCCTGCCCCTGCCCCCTCCAGCTGGCTCCCTGCAGCCACCTGCCCCTGGGGACCGAGGGGCTCCTACGAGGGTCAGTGTGCTCTGTGGGACCCCCCCGTGCAGGGACCCTGATGGCCCACCCTTTTCTTCCAGGCTAAAGGAACACTGACCCCGGAGTCCCGTGGAGGAAGGGCTGAGCCCGTCCTTCACAAACTGTGTTTGGAGAGAAAGCAAAGAAGGAGCCTGTCCTGAGAGGCTCGCCCTGGCCTTTGGCACACGCTCCTGGAAGAGGCCCGAGAGCCGACTTGAGAATTCCCGGTACTAGTCACACAGGCGCAGGTCCAGGAACGCTGTCCGACTGCCTTAGCCGAGCCCATGGATGGACAGCTCTGCCCGCCCCAGCCCCACAGATGTGCGTCCGTCTAGTCCCTTGAATACAGTATGTGACAGCCCCTGGCACTGACCCACAGCACCCGGGCAGCCCCGTCCCTCAGGGACCCAGCAGCAGATGTTAAAGTGTACGAGCCCCATGCTGCAGGAGATCCGGCCACCACGTGCCCCGGGTCCCGGAGGACTGGAATGTGCAGGGAAAGGCYGGGCATGGGACCTCAAGGACACGTCAGCCAGCCCAGAGCCCGCCTCTGCCTGGCATTAGAACCAAGGCAGAACCAAGACCCCTACTACCCAACCGGTTTCTCCATCCCTTCCCAGTCTCAGTCCCCACCTGGACACTGATGGTCAGGAAGTGGACAGAGGTGGCCATACGCTGCCTAAGGAACCAGCCCCAGGGCACTGTGACCCCTGCCCAGCTCCAGGCGTCCTGCTGGTGTCTGCAGCCAGGCAMTGCTGGTCCCCTGTGATGTCCAGGGCCGTGGCAGAGGCCTGGGAAGGGGCCTGGCTATGGGCACCCAGAGCCACGGGTGTCTCTGAGCCACTTGACTCGGTCACATGCACAAACACGGGAGCAGTTTCTAGATCCATAGCAACAGAGGAGATATTTATTTAAAATGTATAATGTGTTCTCTGAGGTTAAAGGAATACAAATGGCATTTTGTTATTTATTAAGACAAACTCGTGGCTCTCTGGACATTTATTTTCTGGGTTGGCTATAGCAACGTTCTTGGCTGCCTTTTGAAATAAAATGGGTTTTTTAAAAAAATTCAAGCAGAATACTCAGGGGATGTTGATGATTTCTGCCCGTGTTTCCATTACACTAAAAGAAAACTTCCAATGGCCTGTGTGTTTGCGTTTTCTCGGGGGTCAGACACGTTCCGCGGTCGTGCAGGTCAGCAGGAAGCTGGGCTGTCCCCTCCAGGACAGGGCCCTCTTGCTGCCAGGGCCAGCAGACCTGCGCCTCTGGGTGCTCTGTGAGCCTGGCGTTCCTCCCCGACCGTGCCAAGGCGTAGGGCTGGGTGGGTGATGCGCTGGCTTCTGGGCGGAGCGGATTCAGGCTTTCAGACCTCAGGAGCTGGGCGTCTGCGCTCACAGCTGCGTGCTGCTCTCTGAGGTGTGCTGTTTTCAAGGTCAGTTCTTGGGCCCCCTCCGTGGCAGCAGGCCAAGGACTCAAGAGCCCCTACCTGAGCTCTGTGGGCCTAGCAGGGGACACAGGCCTGTCCTGCCAGCCCACGGCCCTCACTGGCTGGCTGTGCTTTTTAATAAGTTATCAACACGTCTGTGAAATCTGCTACTGAAAGCAAGATTTTCCATAGACTGGCTAGGCCACAGGTGCCCTGCTCAGGTGCCCAGCCTCTGGTTCTCTCTCTCCTCAGCCTGCCACATGCTGAAGGCACTGCTTGTCCTTCCCACCCTCACTGCCCACCCCAGTAGTGGCCTGCCCTCTGCCCCTGCCAGACACCACACCTCCGTCCTTCCAGGTGTCCAGTGTGGGTATTATTTTGGATAAAGAGCGACTAGACGTAGAAATGTGTCGATGGGTAGCACAGAGAAAGTTTTCCAAACTGTTAAGGTCCGGCTGTGAGGTGCCCCTCCGAGCTCCGGTGCTGATGTTTGCCGGTGGACAGGCYGTCCTGCGAGAGCTGGAGCCCGTCAGGTTGAAGGAACCTGGCCTGGTGTGAAGCCGGGACCCGCCTTACCCCACGAGAGCCGTTCACCTCGCCCGAGCCCTGACGTCCCCACCGTGGCCTGAGACCTTGGAAACCCTGAGTCCAGAGGGGCTTCTCCTCCCTACGTCCTTCCGGTCGGGCATTTCGGTCACAGTGACAGAAAGCGGAGTCACACCCAAGCTGTCTCCCAGAATGGCCTGAGCCTCCCCAGTCAGGCGAGGGGGGGTCCCCAGCAGACCCTCCCCGGCTGAGGCCCTCTGTTCAGCCGCAGGAAGACTTGAGGGGCAGGGTGTGTCCCCCAGCTCTGTGACCAGAGCGTTGGGTGAAGACCTCACCGAGCCCCTCAGCAGCTTCCCACTCCTGGAGCTTCCTGGCGAGCCCTGAGGGGAGGCCATTGGAGTGGATGGTGATGTCGTATGAAACCCGCCTGCCTCCCTGCCTCCCTGCCTCCCTGCCTCCCTGCCTCCCTGCCTGGGCTGGGCGGGGAGCTCATCCCACCTCGGTGGCCCTGCTCGGCCACAGCCTCGGGGACATGCGCGGCGTCCCTAGGACTCCAGTCCAGGTAGCACACAATGCCCTGCCTGCACTGGGACAGCGGGGACCCTCCAGCCCCAGGGAAAGCCCTGTGGAAGCTCCTTAAGAGGAGGCCWGAAGGCTCCCGGGTGCCAGGCACCTGTGGGCTTTTGTCCTGGCTTGTCCCCAGGATGTCAGGGGAGACCGGCCCTCCAGCCAGCAGCTTTGAATCCAATCTAAATAAGTAGCTTCAAAAACCGAAGTGGACAACTCAAGCCCTAACTGCTTCTTGTTGGAGTCACAGACAGAGCACCAGCTGTCTTCGACCTCAGCCACAGAGCCCGGGGGTGCCCTGCAGCCCGGGCCACAGTCAGCTGGAGGAGGAGAGCSGGAGCCCGAGTGGGGGCCGGAGGAGCTGCGTGCCTGTGGCCAGGGTGGCCGGGATGGGCAGGGTGATGGCTGCAGGCCGGGGGCTTGGACACTGTGTCCCCTGGGCAGCCTGACCTCTGGGCGCCCTGGACCATGCCAGGCTGGGGTACAGCTGGCTGAGCCAGCAGGCTTCTCTCTCCTGCCACCCAGGTCAGGGGAAGAGGTGGGGTCCCTTGCTCAAAAAGACAGGAGAAGTGCTGTCAAGGCACTGAAATACACAACTGCCCATCCGTCCACTCTTGTCTTTCTCCCCGTCTTGTGTTCTATTTGCCAATCAATCTCTCCATCCCTGGGGCCTCGGAACTCCAAAACGTAGCCATCATGTCAGGTGCCCAGCTCTGTCCCAAGGCAGAGGTCCTGTGCAACTGGACACCCCACCCCTAGGCCACCTCCCTTCCTGCAGCTGCTGCTCAGGGTGCCCTGGGCACAGCAGCCCAGGCTGGGTCAGCACCACCAGGCCCCACAGAGACACCAAGCTTAGTGTGCTGAGCCCTGACCTCTCCCTGCCCTCACTCAGGCCCACTGGGTCAAGGGTGACCAGGGAACACAGACCTCTGCCGATCAGGCCAACCTGTTTCCTCCCTGGGGGGGCCAAGGGTCAGGAGGGCAGCAGTCCCCTCCAGAGGAGGCAGTGGCACACGCAATGCAGGAGCCCAGGTCCCAGGCCCCAGCAACAGTGCCACCAGCCTGGACTGTCCTCTAACCACAGGCACAAAGAGCAAGGTTCAGAAGCCAACGGGCACCTGCTGAGCACCCCACCCCAGGCCCCTGGGCACAGCCACAGGCTGCACCACCACTGGAGAGAAGGCCATCCTGCCCAGAGGGCTGCTCAATCAGAACTGAACCAGGACCCTCACACAGCAGAGAGAGCTCTAATATCCAGAGTATACAGAGAACTCAAAAAGTTCAACAACAGAAAAGCAAATAACCCAATCAACAAATGGGCCAAGGACCTGAACAGAAACTTCTCAGAGGAGGACATACAGTCAATCAACAAATACATGAAAAAATGCTCACCATCTCTAGCAATCAGAGAAATGCAAATCAAAACCACCCTAAGATACCATCTCACTCCAATAAGAATGACAGCCATTATGAAGTCAAACAACAGCAAGTGCTGGCCAGGATGCGGGGGAAAAGGGTGCACTTGTACATTGCTGGTGGAACTGCAAATTGGTGCAGCCAATTTGGAAAGCAGTATAGAGATTCCTGGGAAAGCTGGGAATGGAACCACCATTTGACCCAGCTATTCCCCTTCTCGGACTATACCCAAAAGACCTAAAAAGAGCATACTACAGGGACACAGCCACATCAATGTTTATAGCAGCACAATTCACAATAGCTAGACTGTGGAATCAACCTGGATGCCTTTCAATAGATGAATGGATTAAAAAATGTAGCTTATACACAATGGAATATTACTCAGCTCTAAAAAATAACAAGATCATGGCATTTGCAGGGAAATGGATGGCATTAGAGCAGATTATGCTAAGTGAAGTTAGCCAGTCCCTAAAAAACAAATGCCGAATGTCTTCTCTGGTATAAGGGGGGTGACTAAAAATGGGATAGGGAGGAAGAGCATCAGAAGAAGACTACCACTAAACAGGGAAGAGAGGTGGGAGGGAAAAAGAGGGAGAAGGGGAGATTCATGGAAGATGGAAGGAGACCCTCATTGTTATACAGAATACATGTTTGATGTTGTGATGAGAAAAAGAAAAGTGTGTCACATTAGATTAGAGAGAAAGGATGGGAGAGGAGGGGAGGAGTGGGGGGATAGGAAGGGCAGCAGAATAGAATGGACAACATGATTGCTGTATGTACAGTCCATGTATGTATTATATGTCAACATACACTCTGCTGTCGTGTGTGACTAAAAAAACAAAAATAAATCGTATGGTGGAAAAAAGAAAGAAAAAAAGAACTGACCCAGGACCTGAAGGCCAGCCCGAGAGCCTGGGCCAGCGTCCCCAAGCCCTGCTATTGGGAAGAGGGTCCTCGGGCTCCCCAGCCCCCAGCGTGGGATTCTAGAGCCCAGGGAAGTGCGGCTGCTTCTGTTCACACGCAGTCCTGGTCGCAGCGACGTGCGGAGGAGCCGGTCCTCACCACTAGCACGTCTGAAAGGAAACGTGGCTTCAGATGTCTTGTCATTGTGGGAAGGAACAACTCCCGAGCCTCCGAGGCCTCCCAGAAAACCAGTCTCGGCCAGCGGTCCCCACGTGTCCAGCAAGACAGTTGCTGAGCTGTCTGTCCCAGAATCCCCCA